ACTATCATTTCATTTCAGGTTTATTGTTGCTTAATATAATTGTTATTTTCAACTATTCTTTTTTAATTATTCTTTTTTACTTGTTTCAGGGATTTCAAATCATTTTATATTGTAGACAATGGAAGTCCGAACTAGTGAAATTCATCATGAAACATTGTCAATCACCTTCAAACATGTAGGTTAATGTCAATGTATTCAGGCAATTATTGAAAGTTCCGCCATTTTGTAGTAGTTGAAGATATTGACTTCATACTCTAGGGTTGTGAAGCATTTGTCAGGAATAAACTATTCATGCAGTAATTTCAATATCCCAAATTTCAATTTTTTGAGTTGATCCATTCAAAAAATATCATGATCAGTACATTGAACTACTGAATATTTTCACAAAAGTCTAACAAATTATCTATTTTTTTGAGGAAAACTGAGAATGATATCTGCGATGTCCCATTTCCATTATAATTCAAGAACACTCCGCAGACATGTAATTTCAAACAAGTCCATTCATAAGTATCTTTAATAAGAATCATGCGTGATCGGTTGCTGTGAATTTGTAAATAAAAAGTTCAACGGTGGAGACAATAAAAATATCTGAGTTCCTCTCTGCTCTACGGAAACAAGTCCATGACATACATTTATCCACTTGAATTTATTTGGACAATTCATATTAGAATATTGTGAGGAATCACCTCCTGAAGTTTGTCAAAGTACTTTCGAATCACCCTGTATTTCACACAATTTGTTGAAGGCAGAAGGACTGTAGGGATATATTGTCATCAATTTTAGATTGTAATATGTGATTCGAGTTGACTTTTGGGAAATTAAAGTAGGAATCCACGATAATCAATAGAAAGCAAATTATTCACGATGAAATGAGCTTTCAATCTTTATCCCCACAACAATATTTACAGCATCGTCTGCACAAAAATATGCAGCAACAACACAACAATAAGAGCACCGAAAGGAATGCTAGTCCAATGTATATCCAGTTCACTTCAGAGGGACTTTCTCTGACATCACATAACTCTGTTGCTTCATCATTGAATGCGGTACCTGAAAGTGCAAACAAAATTGTTACTCATAATATGGAGTTTGGAAAATTATCTTTAATATTTATTCATAGATTTTCAAGAGTTGAGTGAAAGAATAATGGGTTCAGATCATCTTGATTCATAATACCAGTGAATAAATGATAACTCTGTTGGATTTTGTTGTTAGAAAGTACTTTCACTCTTGTATAAACAGAAAAACTTCTATTCCTACTTATACAGGGTGTCCCTGGACTTCCTCTTTTCCTCTCGGGAATGTATAGATGGGGTCAAAATATTACCAGTATTTCATATAACTTTTTTCCTAAAAGTCTTCGTAACCAAGTTACGGGCCCTCGAAGTTACAAAATGAAAAATGTTTTTCTTTGATAACTTTTCAAGTGAATATTCAAAATCATCCAAATTTTGGTAATTGACTAAACAAATGAATTCCGTCGATGAGCTTTCATGCAGGAGTCAGTTGTTTTGCTACAAAGTCAGGAACGGA